CAGAAAGACAATTAAATATATACACATATATACAAGTATATATACATAGCTATAGATAGATATATATATAAATACATACAAACTAAGGCTAACAAAATTTTTCAGGAAGACTTGCAAGAGAAAGAAAAACGTCAGGAACTGGTTAAGGGGAAAAATACAAGGATAAAAGGCAATAATTAATTGGGTTGCCTCTTCCCTTCCCTTCCTCACATGGGGTGTCCATGTGAGATGAAACCAAAGGAAAAAAACTTCCTTGCAGGGAGCAAAGGCAAACAGGGATCTGCATTTCATGATCTTGTATCTCAGTTTTTCACCATATCTCTGAAAGGATGACACTAAAGAGACACCATTGAAAAAAGCTGTATTGATATTTAGAATTTAAACTTCAGTGCATTATTCCTCGAACTATTAGAAGTGCCTAGGCTCAAAATGGCTAAAACCAGTTACTAGGAGCTGTGAAGTTCTAGCAGTGACAGCATTTAGGACAACTGAAGAAGACTTGTAGAGAAGGGAGAAGCTGGAAGGGGACTACATTTCATGCTACAGAACAGAAGAGCAGCTGCAGCTATCCGGATGAGTGGAAGTCACCCATTTCCTTCGAGTTCAAATAAAATCTAGATATGAAAGTGGGATGAGTGCTGCTGTACAATTCTGATTCCTACTTGAAGAAAACAAGTATTTGTCAGGAGATCATAGCATTTAGCCAGTTTCAGAGATGCAAATACAGGATCACCTTATTCCACCTCTGCTTCATCTCTATGTTCACTTCTAAAACTTCAGCAGGTACAAGGAGGAGTCTGTTATTAGGCACTTGCTGAAATGCAATTGTTACTGGATAATATACCAGTCATCAATCCATACAAGAGTCCACACCAGAGCTACCATGCTTCTCAGAGACTCTAGCAGGCTGAGGCAGCAGCCCTTCCCACTGAATGCTTTGGAAGATTTGAACCTATCTTGGTATCCACACCTCAAGGCTGATGACTATTGTAGGAATTAACTGAATACTGCTGGTTAATCCACTCTCCTCCAAATGTTAAACTAGGTTTTTTTAGTGTGTTCAGCACTGAAATAAGTGCCTGTAATTTTGAAGCAGGTAGATTTCTATACGACATATTTGTGACATTCAAATTATTCCTGCCAATGCCTTTTGCAGTCTTAGAAGAAAGAAAAGGCCAGCACAATGAAGGATGCTTTTGTGTAATTTACACTGTTAGTTTCTGGTTGATATTTAAACTCTTTCTTGCACATGCACTATATATTCTGCCTCACTGACCAGCAAATTGCATTCAGAATCTAATTTATTAAATGGTTTCTGCTGTCAGGAGAATGTTCTCACTGTAATAGTGATATTTTATCCTGTCAAGAAAATGATTACGCTAAAACATCTTAGTAAATACCATAAACTACCCAATAACATCAAAAATTGAAGGTGTACAAAGGCTATCCAATTACTCAGGAAACTTCCAAATTTTCAGGTAACAGAACTCATTTTCTTCTTGAATGAGTAATCAAGGAAATATCATTTTCTTTTATACTGATCATGGTACAAGGTACAGCCTAAGGACAGGAGCATAAAATGGTCTATTACATTTTCCTTATTAGTATTAGAAAACCATTTTCAAAATTATTTATCTGTTTTTTGTTGGTTTTTTTTTTTTTTTTTTTTCTGGGAAAGGAACCTCTTTTCTAGATTTTTTTATGCCCTGTCTCCAAATTCGTAGCTGTATCAGGATAGAAGGACTTGGTCTCAGTGAGAAGTTCTGCCCTTGCTGAATGTCCTGCCATTAAATTCAACAGGGCCAGTAACTCTACTGCTGTATAGGATTAACTACAGGAAGATTATAATTTGACACCAAGAATCATCACAAGACTCCATTGATGAGACTTTGCTTGTGGTGAGTGTCAAAAATAACCAAAGCAGAGTGAATACAAAGAGCACAGCCAGGATACAGTCATCTAAATGTCCTGAAGCTTGCTAGCAGAGCTTGCTAAGGTTTTATATCACCATAAGAAGTTTAGGTTTGAAGGCTTCTTGTTGACAAATTCTGTACCTCATGGAAACTAAAATAACCTCTGCACTGCTAAAGGTGTGCTAGGAGCAGTCTCAGCATTGCCAACTATCTTTCTCTTAGCTGCACCCACTTGCCAAGGTCCACTCATGTCACATGGGGAGGACCTCAGGTGTGGAGCACTACAGTGCCAAACTTCACTCTCATTAGTAAAACAACCTTGATTAAATGTGGAGTAGACTACTGACATTTACCAGGGCTGCTCCAAAAGTAATGTCCCCTATTTTATTATGTCAACCAGTGACATCAGAGGTGGATCTTGATGGTATGGCAGTAGAGATTGAACCTTCTTACCAACATTCCGTCACATTTTGTTGCTGTGTAACAGAAGGCAACAGAGGGCCATTCTAACAAAATAGCACCTGATATGGAAGGGGATATGAAGCAAAGGTGCATCACTGAATTCCTCCACACAGAAAACATTCCATCCACTGAAATTCATTGACACTTGCTGATTGTTTATGGAGACCAAACAGTGAATGTGAATACAGCGAGGCAGTGGGCAATGTGTTTCAGCAGTGGTGACAGAGACAGTGGATCATCTCCATTGGGGCAGATTGTTATTACTGCAGCCTTTTGTTCATTACTGGCAAAAACACACAGCTAATGGTAGTGGCTATGCTGAAAAAGAGCATTTTCTAGCTGAGAATTGACTCTATTCAATAGTGTTATTGCATTGTGTCTGCAGTAGTTTCCATTGAAATAGGTAGGAGGCATTACTTCTGGAGCAACCTACATAGAAACACGTCAGCTTAAACAAGGCATTTCCTCACAGAAGTCACAATTCCTAGATTTGGGGAAACAAACTCTTTTACCAAGACACAGTGTGCAGTAATTCTGGAATTGCCTATTATTTCCCAAGTTATATTTTTGGGGAGGAAAAAAGACGTATACTCGGCTAACAGACCTAATTCTCTCCCGACTGCTACTTGTATTTCTTTTGATTTTGTTCCTTCAAATTTTGTACCAGTTTAGGCTACTAGGACTATTTAGACTCTCATAACTGGAAAGTATTTGCAACACAATGTAAATGCTTTCCTTGTTCTAGAATGAGACTATTAATCTGCACAAATGTGTGTTGTTTTTTTTTAAATGACTTTCTAAACCATGAGAGTTTGCTTGCTGCCTATAAGTGATCATAAATTATTCCTTATAGTTTGTAGCCCCTAGATTTCTCTGAAGCAAAGCCTAAGGCATATTCTGTAATAAAATTCCAATGGATAAGATGATAATAGTCATGAATAATAACTGAGAACTCGCACAAAGTCTAGCACTTCCTGGCTTTTATTTCTTCTCCTAGTAATAAACTTGAAGTTCTTTGGTACATTTACAACTACTATTTTTCATCCAACATGTCATGTGCTCAGAAGTATTATGAAGAACAGCGATACAGAAATACTAAACATTTTATTTCTTATTATGAGAAATAAAATTTTGCTCCCAAACTCTTGGGAACAACTTTTCATCTCCTGCATTCATCATTAACCTGCAGAGAGATGAGATAGATGAGAAAGAAGGACAATGCAAAAAACATTCACCTAGACGTTCACCAAAGCTTTTCTTTGGATGGCAACTGGTCTCTTCTCATCATTTAATCTTCTACTATTGTCCAAATATAATGGAGTGGGAGTCTTGAAACAGTGCAGATAAACAGGCAGGAAAAGGAGGTGTGTTATTTTCCGAATACTGTTCACCTTTTATCACCCAGCCTCCAAAATGAAGGATTACAGCACCAGATGAATCCAGTTTCAGGACTCTATGCAATAAGCAAGGGAGTAAAAAGAGCGTACTTCCAAATAAATCTATGAATCTACACAGCTACGGGATTAGCATTGTATTAAGAATTCCTCAAACAACCTTTTCACACTTCGTACTTTAAGTGGATTAAAGGAAATATTCCATGTTCATAATATGCTTTCAATTCAATACTTTAAAATTTGTCATACATGGAAAGAACACAATTATTAATTAATACATTTCATTAAGCTAGGTTACTGGAGTAAAGCCTACCAAGTAAGAGTCCGAAGGCTATACATCTGTAAGTCAAAAACATGAAAAAATAGAAGTAGTTCTTCACCAGTTCCAGAAAGCCTACAAGCATATGTAGCTCTTGCTGCGATTAGTACTGACTGTACAGCCCTGGATCACAATAATCAAATCATGTTACACAAGAAGAACTAACAAATACTTCCTCTACTGTGACTTTTATTATCCACCATTGCAGATATTTGAGGCATATACTCTTGAAGCATCGGAAATGACCGATTTGGTCCAAATGTTTGAAACAGAGATCACATAACAGAAGGTAGCCTGGAGTCTACTTAAAAGACATCTTTAAGATGACAGAGGAGAAGAATTGTGGAATTTTTGCAAGAAACTGCTAAATGATGGACAGTGCCAGCAAGTTAATGGAATGTAATTAGAATTTCAAGTTCCTGAGATTAATCCCTCTCTTCATTGCTTACTCATTCCTCACCAGCTATAAACAGTGAGAACCTGAGAGGTAAAGTTAGCCACCATGAGTGATTTGAAGAGATTCTTTTTCCAGCTTACCTACTCCTCTTTCGGAAGTTTTTTTTCTTCCACTGTGAGGTGCTCAGATTCAACATCTCGAGGACTCAATCTCATTGACTATCTAAAAATCCTAGAGAAAGCTCACAGAGTTTCAGGACAGACTGATGTGGACAGTAACATCATTACAGGTGATTACCTGCAGTTTGAGAAATCTTTTAAATAATAGATCTGGGCAGGCAGACATAAGGAAAAGTTTAGGAAAAAAAAAGGTGGCACAACTTCTCGATTTACTGGGTTCTGAGTTCCCTTAAACATTTTCTCAGATATGATCCACAACTACACATATTCCTATTATGTTTTTTCTCCAGATTTACTTTCTTGGTTATTCTTAGAATCTCTTTCTAACCACAGCAAAAAGGGTAAGGCTAGAAAGATGGCATACAACAAATAGCTCAGTATTACTACAGAAAAACCCTAACATTGAACATGGGCAGAACAATGAGAAAGAGACATTTTAATAATCCTACTTATATATTTCTTCAGTGGTCAGTCTGTGTGTGTGTAGGCTCCTCAGGAAATGAACATGTTTTTACCTTACAACTTCCATGATATTTTGAACACCTGCAAATTTGATCTAAAGAAATTAAACATAGGAAAGAGAGCTACTCTTTTATTGCAATTAAGAACAAAGCCAGATACAGAACCCAGCTTGAAAGTAGTGGCCATACCGTTCCACTTCTTGTTTTAGCAAGACATTTAGGAAAGCTCTGATATTCAGAAGGAAAAAAAAAGAAGCTTTGAATGCGACATGGACATTCTAATCCATTCTTTAAGTAATTTCAATTTTTATAACTGGTGCAATCATCGAGTTGATGTACTAATATATTCATAACATTCTGTGAGGCCTACAAGCTGCAGTGGACAAGTAAATGTAGATATATTCTCAGCAATATGCTCATAGCAGAATTGGTGTGAAGTAACCACACCGATTTTTAGAATTAAATCATACCCAACTCAAGAGTGTTTTTGGTTAAACCTCAAAAATGTTCTTTGTCCACTTTTTAAAACTCTGGATAAACCAACTCCTAATTGTTCCTTTTAAAGGAACAATACACTTGATTCCTCTCTAACAAACAATAATTTTCTTCTGAAATGTATTGTGTATCCATCTTTGTGCCAAAAATATCATTCTTTCAGATTGCTGAAGCCTCTCAAAAACTCCTTAAGCTCATTATATGAGCAAAGAGTCAACTTCTATGAGCTAGAGCTTCCAAAAATGGTTTAATAAGCTTTTTAAGAGTCTCTTAAGAGACCTTAATGATTTACTTTAGTGGCAATAGGCAGACAAAAAGTACCTGGCTTTTTTTTTTTAAACCTTGTCTTACTATTTCTTCAAGTGTTCTTTTAGCTGTGTGCAGCTCATTAGTCACTACTTCCAACATACACTGTCTTTGTCTTTCTCTATTTCATAGTCTGCAGGTATTTGTTCTGTTCTTGAACTGGCCATCTTTCCAGATACTACTTCTTTAGACCTGTACAAGCCTTCCAAAAATACTTGGGAATCTTCTCTGAAGGAAGCTTCACTAAAGATTCACATATTCTACATAACTTTCCCCTTTTGTTTCTCTCAACAGCACAGGGCAAAGGGACAGTTCAAACCTGCCCAAATGCTAGCATGAAATAGATATCAGAAACAGACATCTGAAAAACACATACAGATCTGTACACCATATTTCACTGAAGCACTTGAAATCCTCTTGTTGGATGAAATTTATACTGCAGAATTAAATGAAAAGCACTGCATCCAGTGTTAAAACGGAAGATGAAACATTCTACATTTGAAGACTCCCTGTAAGTCTTAAAGGAAATGGCAGTTTAAATTAGAGAGATCCATGCCAAACTATTCTATGATCCTATGCTTGCACATTTCTGGAATCTTCATTGCACAGATTTACTGCGTCATTTTTTTGGCTGGTGTTGTATCAGTCAGTCATGCAGCTGTTGCTCAGGAGTGCAGCCAACCAAAGCAGGCTCGGCTAGCTTCAGTCTTGTCCTTGGAGGAAATGGAGTTTGAGTTCCATGCTTTTTCCCCCCCCCTCTTTTGAGGAAGTTTGTAGAATTAGACCTTGGGAAATATTTTGCATGTCTCTGGGAAAATATTATTGTTATTTTCAGTATTCTGCATGGTCAGTATAGCTTCATCTCTCTCAACAGTATAAAAATCACATCAAGGCATTATTTCTTGGGCTGTGAAAATGGTCACCATAGAGTAATACCAAGTTCACTTAAAAAAAAAACTGCAATCACTTTTCCTGCTTATTACACTGTGTATATTATTTTTATTTTCTAATATAAAAATCCTTTTATATTTCTTTACCTTTCGACTTTTTGTTTCACAAGGTAAGAAAAAAAGAATGTTCTAACTCATGCCTGAGGCAAGGAGAGCATCTGTACTTTGTGTTCTTTATGGCAGAATTAGCTTCAGGTCCCTTCAGCATCATCCAATATTCCCATAACTTAGTAGTCAGAAAATACCTGGGTGCTAAAGCTCAGCAACAAGAGAAAGTAACCTGCTGCTGAACTTGAGAACAGCAAGTACTGTCCCCTAGCACAGTAGCAGCTTGAGGTATCATAAATTAATGCTATTTTTCTTACATCAGCTTAAAGAGAACATCTTGCTTTCCTTCTCTGCTAAATAACATAGGTCTTTACAGTGACGCTAGCCAAACGATAGTTGTCAGAAGAAGCAAATAAGAAGAATTCTCTACCTTTACTTGGAGTTACTGGTTGTTTGATGAAGCCAGCTGCTGCTAAATCTTCCCTTTATCATATTTCTTTAGGTAAAGTCACTTTATCTCACCTACTAATTTTAAATTTCCCATCCTGCTTTTTCAAGAGTACAATGCCTATCTTCTCCAACCAATGTTGCGAATCATGTAGTTAAAAAAGATAGGTACCTGATGATAGTGCTACAGTTTGCTCTCCTACTTATGGCTCAAGTTGGGGAATGAAAGAAATATTGAAGTATATATAGTGCAATAAGGGAATTCTAGTCTTATTCAACAGCAAACACCTTTTGTTATTTACACAAACCTTTAGTGTACTTGTGGATATACTAAGTGAACAGCAAGTCAACAAAGGAGTTATTTTCCTTCTGAAAAGCCATTGATTACACTGACCTGGAGTAGCTGGGGAGGATGTTTCCTCTAAGGACAGACATTTCACCAGCTGGAAATTGCTGCACAAGAACATACTAGTTACAGTAGGAGCCCAGGTGCACAATGCTTCAAAGAGAGTATTATGTCTCCCTAGAACCTCTTTTTTCCAACAAATATATAAACAAACAATAACAACCATGGTTGCTCTGCCAGCACTGCTCTATCACTATTTTAGCTAGAGTTTACCTTCTCAGGCAGCAGTGGGGAGAGAAATACTGCTTCAGATTTATAAAGGAGATCCTAATGGTCTTTGTGAGAGGAGCTGTTGATTCTAATCACATCCACTAAGATTTCAGTCTCAGAGTCAGCGTGTTTGGCTATCTGTTACATGGACAAAAAGACCTGCCATGGTAGCCCATAGCTGAGCCCACTCATGCACTCTAAAAACCAGCCTCAGGTAGGAGTTGTTCATAATCATCTCTCAATAATTATTAACACCTTTTACATTTCCATACAGCTATGGATATGTTTATTCTGCATAAGTACAAAGCTGAAGCAGAAGATTTTAAGTTTATCCTTTATTTTACCTGAACATAACTTACAACTGAGTATCACCACTTACCTCATTATTTGCTAAGTCACTAGACTTCATAACCACACAGCAGGTAAGTTGCACACAGTGTCTTTACCACTCCTAAGGAGTATTATTTCATCTGAACGCCAATTGCATCCAATGACCCAGAAACATGCTCCACACATGCTGAAACTGCTGAGAAGGGCACAAAAGCTCCTTCATCTCCTATTAAATCAGTGCTGGTGGATTTGACCAGAGACAACAATAAAAACAAGTGTCCCCCAAGAAAGAGGGGACAAAAGGTTATTTCCCTTGGCAGTGCAGAGGAATGCAGCAGTGAAAAATACAGCAATGGAAGTCACTGTGATGATTTCCCTCTCTGCAAATGAAGAGGGAGTTGAATACTCTTACCTTTCTTAGCTGAAATCCTAGCCTCTTACCATTAAAATCGCATAGGAGGATAACCTGTCTCTATCTTCTCAGCTTCTTCTCTAGGCTGTTTCCACTTTTCTTTCTCCTTCTCCATTGAGTCATCCAGAATAAAACATAAGTAAGAACTCTTCAGAGCAAGACTGGCTGCAAGTGGAATCTAGGGATAAGCAAATATCAAGGTTACAATTGCACGTATCTCTTGGATATTTCTTGACTTCTGAGAGGAAGAAAAGCTGGATTAACTTAGGAAAACTTTTCAAGGAGTAGTTACTTCTCTTTTTAAGAAGCTCCAACATATTCTACTTGTGACTGTGAGTGCGAATATCTTTTCAGATAGATTTTAACAAGGACAATAAAAAGTCCTATATATTAGACACAAGACTACATATGACAGTCCATAATAGTTATTTTTTCACTGAAATAATTGAAAATGGTCATTAAGACACAGCTTCAATGTAGCATCAAGATTTCATTGTTGTTAAAATTCATCCTCCTCAGAGGAAATAGCCAGTTACATGGTTCAAATACTGCTTCCACAACCATTACTACTAATGAGAGGCAATCCACTGCTATTTTGATAGATCACGCACGTGATAGCATCAATATAAAAAATTCTGAGGTAGCCATACTCCAGTGGTATATGAGAGAGCATGCTTGTATATCACCCATGCTGCCTTCCATGACTTAGCTAGACTCTATTCATTACTGCCCAGTCATACTGTCTTTTCAACTGTCCTCCTGGTCAGAGATACCATTATTAATTCTGATTATACAGCACTCCCAATGTGGGGAAGGTGGCAAGACAGGTTGTGATGGGGTAAAGAGTTCTGTACCATAAGGATAATGCCTCAAGTGCCCCCAGTCCTACCACTAGTTAACCTCCTGCCCAGAATAAAGTCTCTAGGAAGAATCTCAAACTCCTACTTAAAGAGACTTTATAGGCTCACAACATTCTCCACAAGAAGTGAGTGGCACTCAGCACTTAAATGGGGTCCAAGAGAGGTGCAGCCAGGCTCCACCCCTTCCAGTAGTACAGGTGAGTTACCCTCACCTGTGCTCCCATGGCTGACTCATTGCTTGCCTCAGGTGGTCAATGAGGTTCAGGCCATGATTCAGCAGTTCCTGTACACTTGCACATCCCTTAGCTGCTCTGTGCACTTCCATAATATATGCTGAATGATGCATTAACTCTCTCCTAAATCCAGCCTGAGATAGATACTTAATGGGTGTGCTGGATCCAGACAGGTTATCATGGTTCCCTTTCATTTAGAGCATTGTGTGTTATTCAGTTACAGTCAAACTGCTAACAACCGTAACAGCTGTAGAACTGACACTCATGGAAAAAACGTACAATTCTACTTCAGACAGTTTTTCAATTCTGACTCTTTCCCTTAGTTCTCCCTACTGAGCGTATAAATACTGATATTTGACTGTGACTCAACAGTGGTTACAGAGGCAGCAATTTATTTCAGCTACTTGACATGAGCTTTCGAGGACTGCATGTGAGAGGACTGCCAACAGTGATCTTTTTATGGTCTGTTCCTAACTCTGACTTTGTTCCCTGTTAAGGCATTTCTTTGGTTAACCAGCTGGTTTTGGAGAAGCCAGGCAACAGAAACAAAATGATAGAAAAGGAGAAGCACCTGCCAGAGATAGAATCACAAAATAGTTGAGGCTGGACCACGCTTCTACCTCCTCATGCTCCCTTTCTATTTTTGTTTTTCCTCAGGAGATCCTTGTTCATACATGCTGGCCTCCTGCTGCCTTTGCTTGATTTCCTGCACAAGTGGATGGACTATTTTTCATGATCTTTGAAACTCAGCTCTCCTGAGCCATTCCTACAGCCAAGACTTTATCCTATGAAAGTCTGCCAAGCAGATTCTCGCAACAGGCTAAAATCTCCTCTTCCAAAGAGTGGTGTTCCTTCTCTTAGGATGTAGCACCCTACCATTTTGTGGTCAATTTGGCACCATATCTGCAGTAAAATCACACCCCAATTATAGGTGGCAGCTACAAAATTCCCCCTTCAATATTACAGTACTATTGAAGTCCAGTACTCCTCAAATTTCCAAACATAAGTAGCAAATTTTTAGACCACACTGTGAATGTAACCTAATTAGTTGTTAAGTTCTCTGCATAATCATTACCCAAGTTCTATGTCAATGTAAATAATTAATATTTGGAATAAACTTTTTAAGCCTGCTCACTGCTATCTTGTCTTTTGGTGTGAGAAGTCATATCAGAGATGAAGCAGAAAAGCAGGAACAGCTGATAAAACTTGATTGCGTTGATCTCCCAGGTGGGAAGGGAGGACAGGTTAGAAATGATTAGAAAGTACTGTGTTCTTCTTGCTTTACACTCCAGTCCTCTTTTACTGAAACTGAGGATTTTGTCCCTGGGTTTACATCATACAAAGCTTGCTGAAGTAGAACCCCTGCATACCAACAAGCAGAATAACTACTTCATTCCTGCAGTAGCACTTCTTGACAGGGCTTTTTGTGTTTCCTGCAGAATCTGTCTGGCAGTTAAAATAAGTAATTGTCTATGAACCATTTCCTATATCCTTACATTGAAAAATCTCCCCGCGTTAAAATGTTATGCTCTTCAATGTCATGCTGACAACTTCCTTGCTCTCACACACATATATACATTTTTTTAAATATGGAAAATGCTGAAATAGGAAAATTGAGGTAGCTGTTTGGTGGCTAGAAGGGTCTTTAACTACAACATTCTGTCCTATTCTACTTACTTGACATTTTTATTAAGCAACCTGGTATATAACATCATCCTTGAGAGCTAGCAGGAGGGAAAAAGGAGCGAAATTTGATTTTACTCGATATACTAAAAGTACATTTGCTTTGTGATCAACAAAAGGTCAGGAGCATTTTGTTATTGCGAGAAATTGCATCAATTACAATCTTTCCAATCTCTTTCCGCAAAAGTAACAAGCACACAAGTTACCTGCAGCCTCCAGGCTGAGTTCATTGTTTTATCGCAGGTTTTTCCTTTAAGGGGAAAAAAAAAGTTACTATTTGATAGACTGCACAAACAGCCATACTTCTAAAGACATCTGAAAGACAGCTTACCCTAAAGTGTAATACTCAGTCATGTATGAAAGGTATGTTCCTTGGGAGAACACCACTGACTTCCGCTCCTTTTCCTTCATCATTCATGTTGATCAAGAGAAAGCCATAGCATCGTATTTCATGAAAAGATATTTTACAGTACTGCCCAATTAATTAGAAAATATGCCTGATTTTTTGTTCCAAAACACTTCTGGTCCAAGAAAATACTTAGACTATAAAACTAAGATTGTTCTTTTTAAATTGCTCACACATTTTTAAATTGCTCACAGGATTCAGCAACACATAATGTTTTATTATCAAATCAAAACTATGTGCAATGGAATATCACTAGGAAAAGGATGTAATATAAGGCAAATGAATGCTTATCAGGCAGTTTTGCAGGAGTAGGGTAATACATTATTGTGGTTACACTCAGTTTCTCTTTCAGTCCTCATGGTGCTAGCTGCTTGAGAGGTGCAGGTTTCCAAAACGAAATTACTCCTTGCTAATCATATTACCTTTAAATCAAAAATTGCATTTAAAAACCTTTGTGTTGTTTTTGTTAAGAAGTAACAGTGAAGTTAGTTCTAAGGAGTTCTGCTGGAAGTGTTCTAAGGATCTTTGAAACATCAATAAACCTTTTTCTTCTCCTGAAAACACTCTGCTGACTGGTCCTAATGCTTTTATGTGTGATATCTGCAGTTTCTGTGTCTGCACAATGAACAAGATCTCTGGTTACGTCATTTCTAGCTGCTGCTCCTGTTCTCATGGAAACAGGTGTCAGAAGTAGGTACTTAAAACTAATCACAGCTTCATTTAAAGTGTCCATGGTTTCATGATTAGGTATAGGCATGAGCTCCCTCTTTTTTTTTCATATGATCTTCAGTAGATGTTTTCACTGCCATCAATTATTTGCTATTCTGTTGGAGCAATCACAAGAGTGAATGCTAACAAGTTCCAATCTGTGCGCTTGTTTGCCATGCTTGGTAGTTTCCAGGTAACAAAGTGTCAATTCTTATCATAGCTGTTTTATAACTGATAAGTAGGAATCTGCTAATGCTACTGTAATTATTTTGAAGTTTCAATCTATTTTAGCCCATGCAAAAATTCAAAATTCAATCATTCACTCCCAGTTATTTCCTGTCTGCTTTCTCAGATAAAGTTGATCAGTGTGTTTTTGGTCTGAAAAGCCATACAGGTCTCTCGGTTTACAAAAGCTCAAAGCTCTCTGTTTCAAAACTAAATCTGCAGGGGAGGACATAATCAACTTCTCTTGAAGGTGGTATTCTCCTCTGCCAAAAGAACAAACCAGGATTGCATGCAGACACCATTATCCACCTATGTGTTCCCACAAAACCTGTCAGATCACACAATTGTGCCTGACAAGATTTAAGAAGTGTAAGACCCGCGTGAAAATGGCAGAGACATAGGTATGATGATGGCAGCACTGACTAAACAAGGAACCATTACATCTTGTTAATTGCAGGCTCTAGACCTGTCTTTCACAAATATAAGTATCTGTCCCAGATGGTAACACCCTTTCTTACACTGACCAGCACTTTCCAAAACAACCTGGATGGTCGGAGGAGAAAAGTGTTACTGGGCTAATTGGTTTACTACAGTATAAGAGATAATAGACTCCATGAAAATTTGCAATCAAATTTAAAGAAAGGTGCAAAGGTATCATAATTAAAATGAACTGCCTTCAATAAAAGAACTAAGTGCCTCTCTTTCAGTAATCACACACATTTATTTCTCATGAATTGTGTACCGTATTGGTGGCTTTTCTATAGTGAATGCAAGCCTCCATCCCCTGAGATTCAGGTTTGGTCCTGGACTCTGAGCTCCCAGCATAGCTGAGTAAATGCTCCCCAAGCCTGTGTGGCCTCCAAAGCACCTCAAGAACAGCCTGAATCTGTTCCCTCAGCCCTGTGTGGTCTCATCAGGGGTGGCCTTTAGCACCCATCTCCCATTTCACAGAATCACAGAATCACCAAGGTTGGAAAAGACCGACAACATCATCCAGTCCAATCATCCACCCATTACCAATAGTACTCACTAAATCATATCCCTCAGTACAACATCCAAACACTCTTTCCTTGAACACCCCCAGGATCAGTGATTCCACCACCTCCCTGGGCAGCCCATTCCAGTGCCTGACCACTCTTTCAGACAAGTAGTATTTCCTAATGTCCAGCCTAAATCTCCCCTGGCGCAGTTGAAGCCATTCCCTGCAGTCCTGTCACTGTTACACAAGAAAAGAGGCCAACCCCAGTTCACTACAACCTCCCTTCAGGTAGTTCTAGAGAGCAATAAGGTCTCACCTGAGCCTCCTCTTCTCCAGATTGAACATTCCCAGCTCCTTCAGTCGCTTCTCATAAGGCCTGTGCTCCAGACCCCTCACCAGCTTTGTTGCTCATCTTTGAACATGCTCCAGGGCCTCAATGTATTTCTTGCAGTGAGGGGCCCAAAACTGAACACCGTACTCAAGGTGAATTTCCAAGTAGGCTGTGCCATGTCCCTCTCTCAAACCTGACCAATCTCCAAGTCACCCATGCCATGTCCCTTCTGCAGTACCCTCTCCATGTCCTGGATCTGTGGCCACTGAAACAGCCCTATGAAAACCACAGCAATTAGCTCGCTTTGCAGTAAATCCCTTCTGAGCCCCTGTTTGTGAGGTGTGAGGATACACTTGCTGGGCAGGGAGGCTGTCAGAGCACTAGGTCCTGACCAGAACAATCTTGAGCAAGGATATTGCCCGGGCTATGTTATATGCAAATCTATCACCAGTTCTATCTCCAGCTCTGCCTCTTGGATGGATCTTGGAGCTATGCCACAGGTTTCCTGCATTACCCCATGAATGTAAATTGTAGATTTGCCT